AAAACTCTGAAAGTTATTACAGAAACAAAATTAATAAATTATATTTTTTTTTATTTCTTTATGACATTTACAACTGTATTACATAAATACATCAAGTAAATTTGGACATAATTGATATAATGACATGAATACACTTGCTGAGTAACTACCCAATGGTAGCACTCTAATAAATTATATTTAAGAAGAAAGATCGTCACTAATGGCCATGGCAGTCGAAGCGACGTTAAAAAACAACTAATAAAAAATATTAAAATTTATACTCCATATCTATAATACTACACATCATATAAATCCATCTATAAGTATTATATGCATATGTATGTGTGTATGTATATATATATATATATATATATATATATAAACGTATTACTATATACTCACACAGGTACTCCACATACCTACACAGCTAGCTATGTATTGTGTGTAATCATTCCAAATGGGCAGGCCGGACTGGACTTTCCGGAATCCATGGCCCTCGACATACCATATCCACCGCATCAATCACAACATACCATAACACAACACTAGTATCCCCCTATAGCTACGATTGCTGGAGTAGTCTTATTTCAAATAAATATTTATTTAATCTTTTACTTTGTTATTCTCTCGTATTGAATAATATTGTTCTATGAAATTTTAGATATAGTACATTCTTTTCGGAAACCATCCCATTCTGGTTGGAATATGTTTGTTATTTCCAGAGACTTTAATAACGCTTGGCAAACAAAAGTGATAACGATGCCTTCGGTCGTCTTACGACTGCGGAGGGGTATCGCAAGATCAGAATTGAAAAAAATAAATAAAAATTTCATTTTTTTTTTTTATGAAATTAATTATAATAATATAAATTAAGGCTATGTATGTTATTTTAGAACATTAATTTTCATCTTACATTAGTCCACATTTCGGCTAGGATGCCATTTTCAAGCCATGTGTAAGTCAAATTCACAATTAATTTCATACAATACTTCATTTAGCACGATGATAATGATGTTAGTCATCTTTTAAAATCAACATTTTTTAAATTATAACCCTAATTCTGTTGGGTAAATCTGTTAATTTACAAGATTTAAGTGAAACGAATGAGTTTACAAGATAGCATGAGCTTATCTTGTAAATAAAATTACACATATTAAGGCAAGGTTATCAGACATCAGTTCCAAGTGAATTTTAACATTATAATATATAAAAGATGGTATTGGGAAATAGACTATAAAAAGTATTTGTAGAATTTATCCAATTTTTTCCTCTTTAGGGATAATCTGATTTTAAATGTAATTTAAATTTTTAATTCGATAAATTTGAATTAAAATAATTATTGATCGAGAATGAAAAGTCTTTTTTCTACTAAACATTATAATAAAAAATTCAATAAATTTATTTCCCGCTAATAACTATTGAGGGTAAATACCAGCTGAGATAAATACTATTTAAACCTGCTCTTCAGCTTTTTTCTTATCCTGTTCAACATTTTCCAGCTCTCTGAATCACACAGTTTTACATATCAGTATAATAACTGTTATAACTGACTCTGGCTATAGCTTATAATAGAAACGCATTGTAAATAAAAAATATATTTATTTAAATTATAAAAATTATTACACTATGGGTTTATCTACACTAAGAAATCAAATTTTTTAACATTGAAAATTAAGAACCTGAAAGTAAAAGTGGTATGCTCATTCGTTTCTCTAACTCCACTTGAATTTTCCGACAAAACGAAAGACTTTCGTAAAACTCAATGAAAAAGGATTTCTTTTCAGACAATATGATTGCAAAGGCGCTTCTATAAAATGATAATGCTATTGTAAATTGATACAGACCGTTTACCTCCTTTACTTGTTCGATCTTCAATCGATACTTTAACGCCTTTTTCTCCGAATATTTAAGAAACAATTAAACATCATGAAACATGGCTGAAAGAAGTCCTCCTTCATTGAATTTAACAAAACTATTCCTTTTTTTTAAGGATTGATCAAGTAGAGTTAGAGGAACTACTGTGCATACCACCCATAAATTTAGACTTGCGGTTATATGCGGTTACTTGCGGTTATATAAAAATAGTTGCGGAATATGCGAAGATTAAGACTCAAAACGAGTGCACGTAAATGTCAGAAAGTTTGTGTAATACTAGTATATTGTACTCTTTGATTGAGATAATTAAAATTAATATTTTATTGAAAAGACCCACCTACAAAAACTTCAAATGTTCCAATCAAAATTATTGCTCATAACAAAAGCACCATGACTAACAAAACTCTACTGACTTCTACCTTCCAACAGTTGGCCGACATATAACGACACACTACCAACGATGTTATACAATTTTAAACGGACATTACAACAAATTAATAAGAGGCATGGCAACAGCTGGCATACTCCAGAATATGAGGAGGAGACTAAAAAGGCGTTGGATGAGAGATCTCCTTCCTTAAACAACCTCAGTTATTGAAACAAGTCAGGGAAGAGCTGCTGTTGACTACTTTCCTTCCCCATGTCTGACATGTCATTTATATCTTGTATTGCCAGCAAATTTTTGTGATTGTTAAAAAAAGTTAAAAATTTGTATAGACAAAATAAATTAAAATTATAATTTTGTTATTATTAATAGTGGCAGTTTCAGCTGCATAGCCTTTATAGCTGACATTAAGGTCTGGTAATAAATATTTATTGTACATTATATTAGTTTAAAATATTTCGAATCTGGTAAAAACAAATTCTTATAAATTCGATTGGGTCTTTCTCTACTGTTTACATGAAGGTTAACCTTAATCTACTCCTCTACCAGTGTGTTTGAAATAACCTGTTGAGTGTGTGATAGTTAAAAATGATAGTTTTATTTTTATTTTTTATTTATTATACAATTATTTAAAAACGTTAATCCAAGCTATAAATTATAAATAGCTATAGAGTATAAATAAACAATTCGTCTTAATCTAAATACCTAATTGTTATCATTTTATATTAACTTTTATTTATAAAATGATGATTTTTACTCCTTATATCAAAAGTAACTGTTATATATTTTTTTAATAATTCTCAAATTTAATCCCTGCCTTATATTTTATTTTCATTTAATTTTTCTCAAATCCAATATTTTTTATCTACAAATGAACGGTTAGAAGAACCCTTTACAAACCCTATATTACGGAAACTGAGACATTTCGTGTAGTATTTCTCGAAAGCTTTTCCGTGCAGCATACTACTGGATAAGAATCGCTCGAAATTCTGAGATAATTTTGGGTTCCGATTCCAAAGGGGTCAGCAATCTGACCAATGGATATTTAATTACATCTTTCTGGTCATTTCGACAAAAATTATTTTTAACATGCATCGCTGAGGGAATATTGTTAGAAATGTTTATGGTTTTCTTAATATATGTCTCAAAAGTTTTTAGAAGCTCTATGTTTATATCATTCATGTATTGAGAGTGGTAAAATAGTATGACTGAAATACCAGACTGACACACCTCCACCTCATAACAAAAGATCTTAACCCCAGATGTCAAAAGTGTGACCAGTCATTAACTATAAAACATATTTTGGAAGAGTGCCCTTTTTATACCGCAAGGTTAAACATCTCGGAATACGCCAGAATATATCAGCATCAATAGGAAATCAAGAAGAAATTCTTTAAAAAATTATGAAGTTCCCAGACAATGAAAAAATTATAAAACATATATGACAAGTTTATAACCAATCATCCTTTGTATATTTATTTATTTTATTTTAAAAGTTCATTTATTTATTAATTTAAAATCATTTATTAATTGTATTGCTATTTTTTAGTTTATTTATTTATCTATTCTATCTTATTATCTATAAGTATTTATTATTATCATTATTTATTTATTTTATTCAATTAATTCTTTTTATTTTTTTGTATCTTTTTTTTTTATTTTTATCTTTTGTACCAACCACCTGATGAACCTGAACAGTATAAAAGTAGTATTATGTAGTTGATCGGGTGCTGATGACCTGGATGTTTTGCGCCTAGAAATCCAAAGAAACAACAGTATTACTGTTTGATATATTTTTTTAAATTTATTATTCTCCGATAATCTGTCTTCAAAGTAACTTTTCGTTCATAGGTTCAACTCAAACTGTTTCTGATGATTATATTTAAGAAATTTTAAGATGAATCATGAAATAAAACATTGGATTGAATTTAAGCTAATTTAAGTTACGAAAATTGTTATTTTTTCTCGACTTTTTGAAAATTACAGATATTCGTATTTGATATAAGGCCCTCCAAATAATATTGCCATAGAATATTATTAACAAAATTCAAGACAATGGCGTTGCGCTCTAGTGGAAAAAAAATGAAATTCATACACAAAATTGTACTACAACAGAATATAAATTATTGTAAAACGCCAATGACCATTTAGGGTGGAGGAGAGAAAGATTATTAAAGAAAAAAAAGCCATTTTTAACACTTTATTATTAGGGGCAAAAAAAAAATGTTTAAGAAAATATCAATATATATAAAATATAAATATATAATTAAGATAAATAATCGTAAATTAAAGAAAAAAATAAATATTTACGCTAGGAAAACAATAAATATTCACACCTAAAAGAAACTATTTTTATCCTTCCTGACATAGAATAATTTATCAACATATTTAGTTTCAAAATTCTATGGTCGATTCTCAGCCACGATTTAATGTGTTACCCCAGATTTATTAATAACGATCCAAAAATGCCTTGGAAATTTTGAGAATCTTGGAAATTCGAAGGATATCCGTCTGTCGGATTAACAAAATTCATTAAAACTATTAACTATTAATAAAATTTGATGCCAAAGAATAGTAATGACATCACTTTTCGTGAAATATATATTGAAAATCCTATATTTTCACAAGCGACCTTAAACATATTTTTCTGTTGAGCTAGGTTTGATAAATATAATGAGGGAGGGATTATTATTTTTTCAAGAGTCGATTGTAAGTTTATTCCAATCAGGAGATAAATATTTTGTTTCGTTTTATCCGAAATATGATATATTGTAACTTATTAGACGGAGAATTACCAGCGTGCTGTATCAGGGGGAGGGGATGGGTGGCCAATGTAAATCAGGCTGAGATATTAACGACTCTGCGAACAATGGTGAGCAGTGCCAAGGTGTTGGAAACGCCTCTCCTGCAACCGACTTGTACAGTATTTATAGCTACCGGCTACCAGAGGGCCCTACTGGTCTTCGGTAGTGGATGGAATGAGAGGAAGCTCGAAGAAAAGAAATGTATAAAATAATGATATCATGGTAGTGGTAAATCAACAGGAAAAGAAAAAGTGGGACTTGTTTTCGCATAAATAATCATTAAGAAAATAAATAAAACACATTCAGGGCAATTACAAAAGCACCTTGGTAGGTTAGCTTGTGCTCCTTACACTGTGACCTTTATATGCCGGCTGTTAACGAACAGATACGAAACCGTTACATACGATTCCATGACAAATTACAAGGACATAAATGAAATGGTCACAACACGCATGTTAGATATTGTCGAATGTAATCTTCGCCTAACAATTAATGTAGATTTCACGATAAAAGAGGTACCGCTGAGTACTGACTCGAATACCATTATATTTTGTAACGTACATCTAATTGCCAGAGTGGATTTTAAATTCCCTGCCCTCAACCTTCGGCCCGGGAAAATCTCGTATAGCCTAAAAGGCGAGGAAGGGAAGAATAGAAAAAAAAAAAAGGACATCTATTTCACTGATTTTATTACTATTTTCGACAGGCGTAAATAAAAAATTACAATTTTTTTAAATTTATTTATTGAGTATTACAACAATCTGTCTCTTTGCATTGGTTATTATGAGGTGGGATGACACTCACACTATATGTACAAAAAATATAAAATAAATAGAAGCAAAATAAAATAACCTAAAAATAAGAAAATTTAAACTAACCAAAAAAAAAACACTTGCATACTTACAAATTTAAAAAAAAAGAAAAAAATTATAGCTGTTTAAAATATACCAACTTTTACTAGTACTCGTGACTAATTATTATTCAAAGGTAGTAGAAAATAAAAAAGTTGACTCACCTTTTGACAAATCGATCAGTGCAGATGGAACAATGAAATCAATTAATTCGTATCTAGGTCTCAGACAATCAATAATCAATTTTAAATATTTCGAGGTATGAAATAGTTAGATAGTCAATTTATTACAATTCTTTCCAAATAGAAAATTATATTCTCCAAAATTCAGTGGTCATCCTCATAGTTCCACTTCCAAAATGTACATATACCATATATACTATAAGGTATTAACAATCATTGTTTTAGACAAATTAAAGATTATAGTAAGATTTAGTCTTAAGGACATGTGTAAATCACGAAAGTGAGTCATCATAAGTAAAAGAGTTTATGAATGTGATCATTGGGCACTACGTCTGTTGTTGGAAATTTTATGTGTTTCAATAAATAAATAAAACGCTCTTTACGAAGTTTTAAGAAACTATGACTATAAAGATTTGTTGGCATGGACATTCCGAACGAATGGACATACTTATTTTTTATAATAGATATGTCGATATGAAGTTCCAGTCTTTTGATGACTTATCCTGATTACCGACGGAAATACTCTCCAGGTGTGCTCCTTTTGCAAACCTTTACTACTAAAAATCCTTCTTACCTTCTTGATTCGTTTACTCCTATTCCTCTGACACGAGAACCCAGTCCATAAGTCTGAATATTCCTTCCTATAGAAATTCTACGTTTTGAAAAATCCTTTATAATACGTGCTGTTTTGTTTTGGAATTCCTTGCCCAACTTCTTACGCAAAATCTCATCTTTAGCTTCATTTTAATACAGATCAGTTCTCCGTCTCCTCAGCAATCAATCTTGCAAATATTTTTAATAGTTAAATTTCATTAGGTTAATGTTATTATGACCTCATTTTATTGTTATTTCACAGTTATCTATATATTATCTATACTGCTCATCAGTATAAATATACTGGTATTTATTTATTGATAATTTTATTATTTTACTTATAATTATCCTTTATATTAATTCTTGTGAGTTTGCTCTCTGAACACTATTATAAATGTCCTTAATTGTGACAGATTGTAATAATTCTGAATAAATAAGTTTATGTTAAATTAATTCTAAGGTTACATCACTCTGTAATTTAATTATCTCTTGTCATTTTACGTCAAACTAATGACACTTATATCGTTCATTGTCATTATTCTAATGGAACTAAATATCCCAGGATATTTTTTCTTCTTACCTTTTTTCAATTTACTCTGAATTTTGAGATGTGCTCGCCGAAAGTCAAACATGGTCCAAAAGTTAGGTTTTACAAGTAGCATCAATTTCCACTCGCCTCAAGAAATCTTCTTTATATATATATCTTTTGTATCGAAAACCACTAGCCATTCTTTCTATAGTTCTCCGATATGTGGAGACTTATTCGGTTATTTAATGTTAAGCCCTACTACTATTGCTACTAATGCTGTAATTATTACTAGCATTAATATTAGTAGTAGTATCTAATTAGGGCTTGAGATATATATATATATATATATATACATTAGGCACTACCTCGACAAAGCAGTGCCTAACCCCAGCATTACGACTGATCTTTAGATTGGAAGGGTTACCAACTGTTGGGAGCGTAGAGTTGTAGAGAACCCGGCCCTATATTGGAATTGTTTCGATGCTGTCCCTTTGTACCTTAGATCCAATCCTCCAATACTCGTCGGACTTGGCAGCTCCGTCGTCCTCTCGTTCATATCAATCTGCCTAAACCTTCAGTCCAGGCTGGTCGATATTCGCCACGTGTTACTATACCAGGTGTTTCGATTAATTCGACCCCCCCCCTCTATCCACTCCCGACTAATCGAGTAATAGAGTAATCGAATTGTAAATGAGCTGGAAACTATAGCCCTCCCTGAGGTTACTATTAGACCGCACAGCTGTGCTTCTGCAATTCATTGCGGTCTCTTAAAAACTACTAGAACTGAGAAAGGTTCAAAGTTATATACTTAGTGTTTCTTAATTAAATTCGTCCTTAAAAATTAAGGTACAGAAGAATAAACAACTGTGTTAGCTTTTAATTATAATAATAATAAGTGGGTATGTCATTGATATAGCGGTCCCAACCGGTGATAGTATCGGAAAGACCTAATCCGAAAACAATAGAAAATATCAAGATTGATGCCAAGAGCTTCGGCAACTTTACAAACCGAATCAAGTACAGGTATATCTGATTGTAATTTCCAGTAATGGCCTCATCCCAGATACCATTCGCTCTGTCGAAAATTTGAAACTGTCAGAGAAAGTGTTGGAAGAAGGGCAAAAAGCAGTTCTCCTACGGACAGCGAACATCGTCAGGAAGTTCTTAAACGTAGTTTAACTTTTGAGCCTAACCCTTGACCTTGGTCCAGATAGGTGAACATTTCTGGCAAAAGCCAAGAAAGTGTGAAATTTGAAAATAATAATTTTTTTTTTATTGTACATAGAGTGTGATCTAGTCTGTAGTGTATAGTCTGATCACTATTATAAATGTCCTTTGAGACGGATTGTAATATTTTCAATAAACAAGTTTTAAAAAAATAATAACAATACGATCAGGCCTAATGAATGAACAAAACATACAATGGCTCATAATGAAATTAATAACCACCGTAAAAAATAGAAAAAATACTTAAATTGTTAAAGTAAACAAATAAAACAATAAACTCTTCAACAGATTTATTTTTAATCATTTTAAATATGAACAAACTTAATAAAATTAAATTATGCAACTGTGATTATTTTAAAAAATAATACAAGAAAATTGGATAATTTTACCTCACAGTCGGAATGACACACCTCACTTCTTACTAACTTTTACATAACATTAATTTATTTCAATACCTTGTAGGCAAGCCATTATTTTCTACTACTCCTTTCAGTCTGTTTGTAATGGAGTCGACCAATTGTTTGGTGATTCAGGTCGAAGCCTATTCCATTCTTCGAGAAGATATTTTTTTGTTTTCTTTGCTAGGAATTTCGTGTTTTTTTTTAATTTATACCTCCAATTTTTCTCACAGGGGTTGGTTCATGTCATAGCTTCAATTGGTGTGGATTTTGTAAGGATTGGATCACTGAATTTAAACATTTGTATAACAAATAAAGATTGTATTAAAAACAATGAATACAAACTAAAAAATAAAATTTGTGCACCTCGTCGATTTTAGAAATGAAGATAAAATTGCTAATGAATGAGAGAGAAAAAGAAAAATTGCAATTTTGGAGTTATGTATTATAGGGCTCAAAATGAAATAATTCTGCTTCAGGCGAAAATCATATAACCATCTATAGGCTCACTTGGTGGTCAAAATGATCTTGAATTTTCTAGGTCCCTTCTTCTCCACCATACTTCTTCCAAGAGTCTATATTTACTTAGGTTTAGAACATCATAATTCTTTAATAATGTCTGGTAAAAACAAATGAATGAATGAATTTCCACACTTCACTGTAGCCAATGCTTGACTGTACAAGAGGTCCAGAATTATATATGAATATTTTTTGCTTTTCCTGTGATTCAGGGGTTGATTCCTCAACACGCATAAGTCCCCACATAGCTTCGCCGTAATTAGTTAAAAAAAGGTAACTTCAAAATATAAAAGTATTCGAATTGATTTTATCAAACTTATTTTATTTTTTATAATCAAATTTTAGTAGAGGTTGTATGTTGTTAGATATTAAAATTCACTGATTGAAATTATCTAAAATTCAAGTTAATAGATGTATTACCATTTTTGTTTTGTTACATTTATTGCTTCCTATGCACTGAAAATAGCGAATAAGTTTTTTAAAATTATTATGACAGGTCGAACAAAACCGACTTCTGACATCAAAAGCAGCGTCAAGGGTATGGAGCAGGTAGATAAGGACCGACCCATACCTGGACCCTGGGGAAGGCTTAGAGTAAAAACTAGTAACGGGCTAAGTAACTGGTTCCTTTTAAGGTGTTACCAGTTATTGTGAAGTAATAGGGTGAAGTTAAGAACCAATGGAAACCATCCTTGCCCCACCCTGAATATTTGTATATAATACCCCGAGAAGAAAGAAAAGAGGGCTTATGATGATGTCCAGCCTTGAGGATAGGTCTTATGTTGAGTTCCGGCCCTGAGGATGGGTCTCATATTTTCTTCCGGCTTGAGTACTGAAGCCTTGGCCCTGCATAGACCATGATGATCCTGGCAGAGCTTTGAACCATGACCAGATGATCTCGGATCTGCAGAT